GTTTGAAAATGTTAAAATTTTTTTTTTTTTTAGGGGGGGGGCCTTTGGTCCAATTCCCCCAAATTTTTTTTTTTTTTTTTTTTTGTTAACATTTACTTCATTCCTGGGAAAAACCTGAAGGGTCTACATACAAGAGTGTCCATTTGCAGCCCTCGGAGCGACTTTTAGGGGACCCATTCGAGAACGGGTTAATTAGAATCAAAACAGCCGTCGCTGCGTTCAGGTTCCCCCCCCCCCTGAACCCATATGTTCATATGTTCATACGTTATTTTACTGAATGCATATGTTCAGTAAAATATCTGAACATATGCAATGAATCTGTGTAATGTAGAAGTTTTCCTCTATGAATTGAATTAGTGAATACATTAATGAATTGAGATGAATCTGCAGAGACCCGCACTACTCTGCAAACCTTTATTCTGCCTCTGTGGTTTTGGGGATTTGGTCCGTCTGGCCGAGTTCAGGATGAACAGCTGAACTCGGCCAGACGGACTGATGAACAAACTCCCCCCGGTGGAGTTTGTTCATCAGCGGGAGAACGTTTCTCAGAAATCTGCGGAAAAATTCTCGGCAACATCTCCAGAAGCTCAGCAGAGCCTCCGCTTCAGATCTGCCGATATGACCCAGATTGCCTCCTGCTTCAAACTCTTCGTGTCAGATTCAGTAAAGATTTGAGGAAATTCAGACTCCATTCACTCTTTTATCGTTGCTGCATATCTTCTACCTTCTCAGAATCTGTGAGCCGCCGCAGATTTATTTATTTCTTTGTTTTTTTTTTGTTTTGTTTTTTGCCTTGCACACTTCAGTCAGATTCACAGTTCCTCAGAAAAGTCCTACATTACCCAGTAGAAGACAAAAGAGATGCTTTCCCAAGTAACGTTGTCTGGGGTCAGATAAACCTGTTTGCGTCGAGGCGCTTTGCGGAGGGCCTCATCACGAGGATGGGATGTAAAAGCGAGCAGGAAACGACGCTCAGGATGTCCAGTTGTACTTCAGCCGAGACCCGTCTGTCGCATTGTCCGCTCAGCCTCATCATGACACGGAGAGACGCGGAAGTGAGCCTCTGTTTACAGCCTCATTAAAGGCGAGTTCATTGTGCAGCTCTGCTCTGCACCGAAATGGAAGTGGTTTGTGTTCAAAGATAGGAACTGGCAGCACAAATGTCACTGCGTGTCCAGCGCGGTGACAGGAGTCAAGAGGGGAGGTCTGTGACGGCAGGACAGGAGCAGATTGGAGGGTTTTGGTGCTGACTTGCTGCCAGTGAGGTCCTCCCCGCCAATCGCGTGCGATGCTCCGAGTCATAGGACATCATCCATTAGAATACAATAGATGTGGGAGTTGTACCAGCAGGCATGAGGCACAGAGTTCAATAGTGGCGAGTGGAGAAGTTAAGCGTGGAGTCAGTTTAACCGTGAGGAAATAGGTGAGTGCAGATTTCTTTTTTTTTTTTTCGTGGGTTTGTGTCGTGCTATGCAGAATATTTTTTGGTACATCTGCAGCCTGAGCGCGGCAAACACGCATACAAACATCTTGCGTTTTGTCCCACCCAGCAGGATGAGGAGTCTCCCGGTCACTCCCCGCCAGGTTCGCCTCCCGCCTTCCCGGACGACGAGCTGGAATCCGGGCCGCAGTTCCGTCGGCGTGCTCACACCTTCAGCCACCCGCCGGTGAGGAAGCGCATCTCCTTCGAGAGCCAGCCGGCCAACCAGACCAAGCAGGCGCCGCTCCGCAGGCAGCACTCCGTCAACCCTGAGCTGCTGCAGACCAGGTAAAGTACCTGAAACAGTTGGTCATTTTGTGCATTTCTTTTGCACATTTAGGAATTAATCTTTTGCACATTTTGCAGTTTTTTTGAGCTGCTGTGATTAGCTTTGATATTTGGTTGATTTTTATTTTTTTTTTTAACAGTTAATCTCCCTAATCACTTTAAAACTAACAAAATATTCCGCTGACCTTTTGATTCCTGCACACACAATGTAATCTATTTGCAGCACTTTGATCAGTCTAAAATCTGCTCCCCTCGTCCCCCCGCTGTCCTCTGAAACAATAGCACCACAGGTTTCCTGTCAGTGTTTTGGACCCACATGCATTTCTCACTGTTTTCCTTTCCTTTATGTAATGTTTGTTCTCTCTTTTTTTTTTTTTTTTTATGATTTTATTTGTGGGCGTTTCACGCTGGGCCCTCCCCAGTCACGTGGCCGTGTCCAGAACTCGCAGCATTTCAGAGGGGGAGTCCTCCTTCAGCCTCCCCTCCACCTTCTCCACTCCCACTTTCCTGAAAAGCTTTTACCAGGGTTCGCTGGGCTCCCTGACGGACAGTGGGAGCTTCAAGAGGTGAGCGGAGGGGGTTCCGACCACCCGCCCCCCTCCCTTGCACAGACAGACAGCTGATGATGAAGGACATGACTTCTGTGGGATGGGAACAGCTGACCTGTTGCTGGGATGGCAGTAGCCATAATCCGTGTTTGGCTGAATCTTTGTAACTCGCAGCTCTACTATCCAGTCTCTTTTCAACTTCTCCTCAACATAAACACAAACTTATTGTTCTCGTTTCCCGGATTTTGAGACTTTTCTTTTTTCTTTTTTTATTTTAACCCTCCTCTCGGCTCTGCAGATAGTCCGGCCTTCTTCCCGTTTAGAGCGGGATATTGATACATCCTCCTTCTGTTTCATTTGCATGTGCGTCTAAAGCTTTTTTGCACTGCAAACTCCTGCGTGTTTCACCGAGACGAACAAACGTCATTAACTGCATTTCGTTCTTCTGACGTGACAGTACTTTGCAAAAATATCGGTACCAATAAAGCTTTTTTTTTTTTTTTCCAGGCTAAAACAAAGTGTATTTTATTGTGATTTTTGTTTTAGTTTTGTGATAGACTAACACAAAGCATCACATTATTGTCGAAATGGAAGGAAATCGATAAATTGTTTTCAACCCTCTTTCATTAGTAAAAAGGGTTGAAACTGAGATATGGAGTTAATTTGTGTTCATTCCCTGTGTCTAATACTTTCTCTGCAAATATGGCCGCAAGTTATTTTGGATTGTCTCCACCAGCTTTACCTGATAGGAATCCGTCAGGAAAATTCACTGATGAACGAGTCGGCTGGTGATGAGGTTCTATAAATCTTTAAATTAAGGAAAATAATTTTTTTTTAATCATATTTATAGATCATTTTAAGATTCTGCCCCTCCTCTGCAGCAGGGAGGGCAGCGCCCCCTATGGACCCGCTGCCACTGCATCCCCACAACGTAACACCTTCACAGTGTATCACCACGGCGATGGTGATTGCGTTTTACTTCTTAGTTCAAAAGTTCAGTTTTGTTCTTATCCATCTAGCTCACCTTCTTCTATCCGTTTGCCTTTGGTCTTTGCATAGGCTTCATTCAACAGTGACTTTCTTCCAGAAAGCTCAGATTAGAGGATTACATGACTGCTACTTGTCCTATCACCAGATGGGCCTGTGAGTGGAAGCGGACGTCCATCACGTCCATTTTAGGTTTGCGGTTGTGCTGTAAACTCTTTAAAAGGTTGCTCTCTGATGTGTTCGAAGCTCGGGGTATTGTTTTAAAACCCAAACCTGCATCTAACTCTTCCAGCACTTTCTCCCTGAACTGTAGGCTGCGTCTTCATGATGCTGAATGTTCCTTGATGTTCTCTAGGAGCTTTTCTAATTGTGCTAACTTTAAATCGCATACAGGTGAACTCCATTTATAAATCAGGTGAATTTTTAAAGCAGAGTTTCAGCTAGATTTTATTTAGAGGTAGCAGAGTAAATCGCACTTTTCTGGTTTTTATTTGTAAAATCTATTTCAAACCGACCACACCACCTTCCTTCCACTTCACAACAGTGTAGCGCTTTGTTGTTCATCGGTACCATGAAACACATTGAAGTTTTTGGTTTTAACAAAATAAGATGTGAAGTTTTTTTTTTTTTTTTTGCAAGATGCTGCACAGTTTAAAACCTAACAAAGCTTTGCAATTTTCTTCTTCTTTTTTTTTTCCTCATTTTGGAAGGTTGTCATCGGTAACCTTCGGCCAGTCAGTGACCGTGTTTGGTTCGTCAATGAAAGCAGATAAACCTCGGTGTGTCTGAGAAGTGGGTTCTGTCTCCTCAGATGTCTGGGTGACAGAAAGTAAAGGTCAACATTTCCATTATAAATGAGATGCAGCGCAGCGGGCCGCTGTGTTGTTTGCTCTCCGAGCAGCCAGACTCCAAGGTGGCATCCGAAGAATCAAGACAAGCTTTTTAAATTCTCGAACTGCGTCGCTCCCAGATTAGGGGTCAGATGTTTCAGCCTTGGGTTTTGAATGTGCTGAATATGACTCATCCGCTCTGAGGTTTTCTTTCTTGATTGACCCTTTTAGCAGCCAAAGCTTTTTCTGACGACGCTCTGCTTGGGTTAACAACAGAGAAGCATTAGAGTAAATGTGTCAAGGGAGGAATTTTAAGGAGTGACTGGGGCAAGCATGGAGTAGCCAGATTGTTTGTGTTCAGTGACATTAGTCTTGAACCAAGGTCACTTCCTGTTTCCCATTGCTCACATGTTCAGGCAGGTTTTCGTGTCCTGACAATGCTTACTGATTGCTCAAGCGTTTTGTGACGAACAGCAAGAGGTGGAAATAATTATTTCTCTTTGTTGATTCTTTTTTTTTTCACATTTTTGGAAATCATTTTGCTGTTTAAGATCTAACCTGTTCCATTAAAGGCTTTAGTCATCTTGAATGTTTTGTCACTCTTTGAATTCATCCTCCAAAAATCGGCATTCTGGGAAAGCTGTAGGCTTAGTCCAAGCGCACACTTTGCAGGACCTTCCCCTTCGCTCTTTGCTGTGCCGCAGACCTCTCCCCTCCCCGCCCATGGTCTTACAGAAATGGATTCATAAAAGTTTTTACATATTCTAGCAACCAACATCGTGAAGGTTTACCATCACCCACTTCTGTCAGACTGTCTGGATTGTATTTCTACAGCTGGGATGTCTGCGAACAGGTTGCGAACGTAAAGTTTTTCAGAAACTCTCACCACCGGCCTCTTCCCCTTCGCTGACAATCAACTTCTTTTTCAGAAAGAACAGAAATGCATGCGCCTCGGCCGTGGCCGACGTCTCTTCTGTTTACCGCTGCTTCATTAACACGGACACTGGGGAATCGGTGTGCGGCTGCTGTTTTGTTCGGGAAGGCTCACCTTCGCCGCTTATGACCTGAACTGTCCGGAAAAGCTGGACGAGTTCTCCTATCGTGCTTGTGTTTGGTTTGTGTCTGCCATCATTAGAGGGGTTGAAGAGAGTTGGTGTAATGTGACACCTGACTCCGTTATCGGGTGTCTCTGACACATCTGTCCTTTCTTTCTTTCTTGTAGCAATGAAGAAGGCAGGAAAAGGACGCTGTCAAGCTGCAGCAATGACTCTCTGAGTGGAGGTCTCCCTCTGACCCCACGCAGGGTCTCCTGGAGACAGAAGATCTTCCTGCGGGTCGCGTCACCCATGAACAAGCCATCTGCATCTATGCAGGACACAGGTGTGGTAACATGATCCTTTAAGCTGTTCTGCAAGGAATCATTATGTGCAGCATGTAATCGGCGTCCTTTGCTTTAATGAGAGATACCAATGTGCCGACAGGAAAATGTTGTATCATGAATATCGTGTGCAAATGTTGTCAGTGTAATGACAGAGTTATTAAGCTAAGGTACTTTGATAATATGCGAACAGTTTGGCCGATAGCCCAAAAATACAGCACTATTACTAGAGTTATTGAAATATGTTTTTGTCATTTCACCCAGTTTCATATCGGTTCTCTGAGTAGCGCACAGAAAATACTTTGAGAATATTTTGTTTTGTGTCTCGGTGAGATTTTCCTTTTGTAAATCAATATGAAATGAAATATAAATAAATGCTGCAACTTCTAAAGACTGCAATAGTAATTCCAGTTTAATAAACCACAGCAGATGTAAATACTGTAAATACTTACAAGGAGTTAATTCCCCCCCCCCCCCCCCCCACACCCCCCACCCCCCTCGCAGCACCCGCACCCCCCTCGCACACCCA